GACCTCTCCGATAAATGAGCTCAATGTTTTAGAGGAAAGCTGACGTGCACTTCTTTGCAGGGACAGGTCTGAGACAAGGACGGAGGCTGCTTTTCATCTGCTGGTCTCCAAGCAGGAATCCTGCCTGGCTCCAACGCACAGCAGGTCTGCAGAGAGCCTTCAACCCCCTGGATCCGTCACGAGAGTCGGAGAGAAGGCATGAGCACGCCTGCGTGCGTGCGTGCACAGTAGCTGATGGGGATTTTGGGCATGCAGGGGACGTGGAGGAGAATTCACCCAGCAAAGTCGCACGCTGGTGGGCTGCTGGCACAGGCAGGGCAGCCACGGTGCAGCATCCTCCAGGACACACTGACAAGGAGAGCTCAGCCAGCCCAGTGTCCCAGGAAAGGCACGGAGAGCAATGAGGAGCAACACCAACGCTGCCCTCCTTCCCATGCTTAGCGAGGGACCTGGAAATTCCCATTTAAAGCACAAAAACATCTTCAAGCCCAGGTATGCTCAATCAATTCCAGGGAAAGACGGATGCAAGGAATCCCGTGAACGGCCCAGTGGATTAAAGTGACGGCTAAAAATATGCACAGAGGATCTGCCCCGGTTATGGGGATTTGAGGTGAAGGTAGCTAACTTCTCTCGATACAATAACGCATCCCAGAGGGGCAAATTAAAGCCCACAAGGAGGCTGTGCCACACAGCTACCACCTTAGAGGTGCCAGACCCAGCAGGGATCAGCTTCCCCCTGCAGGGGAGACACTAAAGGTCACTCACATGGTTTAATTTAGGAGGTCCCCAAGGCTTGCATCGCTGTCAGCCTCCGGCAGCAACCGAGGTGCCTGTCACAACCCGATTTCCCCAGGTAGCTCTGCACCATCCTGCTGGCACCCAGCTCCCAGAGAGGGGGTGACGGGGACGGGCAAACGCACCCCATCCCGCACCCGTGCACCCTGCAGCCGAAGCGGTCCTGACAGCCCCACTGCACCTTCCGAACAATCTCGGCGATTTTAGCACCCATCACTGTTTTCAAATATCATTCTGTCTCTTCAAAGACTAAAAGTACTTTTGAAAATAGGACTCAGATGCTTTTGAAAATGCTGCCCACTATTTATTCTCAGTTTAGTCTACGGAGAGTAACAAAAATGTTAACTCCCATTCTCCTACATCCTTTCAGAAATGGTACGGTTTGCACTCACAGCTGAAATCTTGGCTTGGAGACATGCTTGTCTGTTTTCCTGTGTTACGCTGCAAACATTTCCCAAAAGGCACTTTTTCAGGTGCAATTTTACAGCTCATCTTTGGAGACAAGATAAAGCGGCTCCGGTCAGCACATACCCAGGGCAGGAGGCACCAGTGACCACGAATATCAACTGCCTCTCTAGAAACCAAGTCTCCTAAAACCTTCCCAAATGCAACCACAGCCTCACAGCACAGGATTTCACCGCAGTCAAGAGCAGCTTCTCTCTGCTCTTCCCCAGCAGAATCTGTACAGTCAACTTTTTTTTTTCCTGGAAATCAATTACTTTTCCAGCAGAGTGTAGCAAGAGGGGATTACAGGTCACATTTTCCACAATTATCCTCTCCAACGCCAAGGAACTTTTCAAATTGTACACGTTAAATAGGTCACAAGAGGGAAAACCAGCGTGATAGGCATTTAGCATCAGAAAACCTGAATTCTGAGAAAATCTGTTATAGGGCAGCGCCAGCCCGCATCCCAACCCCTCATCCATACTCAGCGCGGTGGTGAGAAAAATATATAGACTTCCCTGATGAACCATAAGCTAAAATTAGAAACCATTCACCCCTGCAAAGCCACAGCTATCGCCAAAAGGAAAGTAGGTCACAGAATGGCTGGCTAACTTGATTTTCCGGCGTTTCTAGCTGCTCTGTCCTCATGTAACCTCCTCTCTCCCATGGACCGTTTTTGGTGTCTCCTTTGTTCGGGGTATAACTGCACACAGTGTGTAACTCCGGCACAGCCTGGCAGGAGCGGTGGGAACGGACACGGTGGCACCCGTGTGCTCGGTGAAGCACAGACCCGTAGTTCATGAAAAATTAAACCGGAGCCAGGCGACAGCCCCTCCACGAGGCGCACTGCCTCCCACCTGCTCTGGCATCGGCACAAGCGCTGGCTTTCTCTCCCGTCCACAATATTGCTCTTTAAAGATCATTTCAGGCTTTGCCAGCTCTACTGGGGTGCTTTGCTCTCTCGCCTCTTCCCGAGGCCTGAATATCCTCTTTTTATTTGCATTTCTTACTGCGCGCTGCCTCCCTCAAGCAAGCCGCAAGCTGAGCGATGAGAGTAAATCAGGCTTTTCCTCCCTTTGCGTGCAGGCTGGAGCCCTGGCTCAGCCGTTACAGCCGCTTTTCCTGCGAGCAGACCTTGAGGCATCCAACTTCACCGCTTTTCCGCAGCACAGAAGAGGCGGAAAGGCTTAAAATTTGTCTCAGTGACCTTCCCTGCTCTTGATCAATATGTCTCTATCTGGCTCACAGCCCTTTGCTCTACCAACTCACCTTGCAATTAAGCGTTAAGCTGCAGCAAAGCCATGGGTCAGCACAACCGTGCCCGGGGCCCTCCCATCCGACAGACAGCTGGGTTGGCCCGGATGCTCTGCTGCCACCAAAGCCACCTGACGTCTGACCACCAGCCACCCTCTTCCACCCACGATCCTCACTGATGCTGCTCCCATGTCCTTTCCTCTTCCAGTTTTCCTCCTCCCAGCCCCAAAGGGAAGAGCAGTCATCACCGATGATGCCCTTTAGGAGGATAATTGCATCCTGGATCCCACTTTTGCTACCAGAGCCACAACAAAGGCAATGCTGTCGACAAGGCTCAGCACACCCTTCCCCTTGCAGCCCGCAGCTCGGCATCACCCCCAAAAGAGTCCTTCCATCACCCGGCCTCAGCCATTACAATCGGCCAGCAAGGCTCGGTCAACTCTCCATTGCCCATGAACAGATCATGTCTTCTTCAAAGGAGGAACTTCCCTCCAGCCTGCTATGGTTTCTATCAAGCAAAAGGGAAGGGCTGTTTGGTTTGAGTCTCCTACCCGCAGACGGGCTTGCTTACACGCTACTCGCAAGGGGACTTTACAAGAACAGGGGAAGAATCATCATTTACCCCATCCCAGGGATCATGCAGACACGAACGCGGAGCCAGATTTGAAATTACGCAGACATTTGGTGTCAGACGTGACCTTCGCTTGCTGAGCACCCACCTGGAACGAGAGCACCCTATCGCGAAGGTTAATAGCAAAACACTCCTGGTAGCAGCCTGGCTTCAAGGACCAGCGTAACTTGGAACAAAGTCAGACACGCTGACAAATGGATGCCACCAGCTCTGAGCACTGTTATGCGACAGCGTTGCAGGTATTATGGCCGCACACTTTCAAGGAGAAATGTAGAACTCCACGCTTGCTCTCCTCAACTCCTTGCCACCACACATGGGACAGGGCAGCAACCCCGAGGGACTGTCCTGAGCCGTGGCAGAGGCTTCGAGAGCAGATCGTGTCTGCTGTGGAGGAGGTGATGGGAGGCTCAGGGAGACAGGAGGGAAAGGGTGGCCCTGCTGCTGGGTCAGAGACAAGAGGTGACAAAAGGTCTCTGCGTGGGCAGAGACAAGAGGTGACAAAGCAGGAGAAGGGTCTGGCAGGACACTCAGCCCTGAGCCAGGTCCAGCTAACGGGGACTGCTACGACGCAGGCTGCTGGGGATGCAATGGTTGAAGATCACCTTTCCTTCCTGCCTCAGCACCATCACCCGTTTCCTCCCCTTGTAACATGGTCCAGGTACACGAGAACGTCCAAGAAGGATGGAGCTCAAGGCAATAGGAATAAAAATGTTTGAGACCTCCTTTTTTTGAGCCTAACCCCTTGCACAGGAGGCATAACGCATCTAGCCCAAGACCCCTGGAGAGGGCACTGGGTGGGGCCACGGGGGGAACGGCTTTGAGGACACTCAGCACCTGCCCACACAGCCCCGTGTCTGTAAAGCTATCACCAGCCAGCGCTTGCTAATGCATTAAATGCTCAAACACATTGGCCTCAGTCTTCACCCACTCGCACAACTGCCTGTGCCAGCGCCAGGTTTCCTATTGCTCAGGGAGAGAAGCAGATGGAAAAAGGAAAACCAGAAAAATTGCATTGCCTGGGAGCGCAGGGTATGCGATTTTTTTTTTTCTTTTTAGGAGTCGGGCACCTGGATTTCTGCAGCTCCCAGTGAAATCGCAGGCCTCGCAATTCAAAATAATTAGCGACTGGTAGTTTTCCTTTTATGCAAAATCATCCTTTTTATCCAACACCTAAATGAAAATGAATATGCTTGATTATCTACCAAAGGGCCCAATTTCCTAGCATCGCTCCGAAGCACACAGCAAAATTCATGCCTCCTCAGGCTGCTGTTACAGGCAATGGCTGAGTGCAACAAATGAGCGGTCAAGGCAGAGATCCAGAGCCAGGGATGCCAGCCTGACCTTTGCTAATGCTATTTACAGCATCAACTATCCATAAATCCAGCCATGGCTGCATCCACGTCCTTTCTGCTCCAGCCTGGGGGCGCGGGGGCAGCCAGGAGAGCTCGTAGCTGGCCTGCCAGTATTGGAGCATCATGGATGTCCCCCTCCATCCCTGCAGCCCACCCCACCATGCCAAAGCCCATCCTTTGAGGCAGTTTTTGACCAGGTTCACTCCTGGGGGAGAGGATGAAACAAGTTATTTAACAGAGAGGGCTCTGGAACATCTCCTGAATGCTTCAAATCTAAGGCTGATGGCAGGAAACCCCCCCCAGGCAGGTTCTTCAGAAGACATTTGTGCTCAATCCACACGGCAGAGCAAGTTCCTCACGGCTCAGCCCTCTGTCGTCACCTCCCCAACGGGGCTCCATCTATCCACCTCCCACGGCCTCCGCCCCAGGAGAATCCCCCACCTACCCCTTACCAACCTCCCCAGCCCTGGCCAGGGTGACACAGCACAATCGCACATTTGTACTTCCATCGTTTCCAGACTCACCCTGTTCTCGTCGTAGATGATCTGCACCAAGCTGCGATGTTTGGACTCGATAGGAGGGGGAGAGATGGGTTTTTCAGGCTCTGGTGGTTTGGCTGCTTCTTCCTCCAACTGTTGCTGTGGAAGGAGAGGGGGGAGGAGGAGGGTGAGTCACAGCGAGAAACGCAGCCGTCCCCGTCCACACGAGACTCTCTGCGGTGCCACGACCCAGGCAGAAACCGCCATGGCAGAAGGCTTCCTGCGAGACACAGGCAGGCTCAGGCCGCGGAGGGACGGGGAGAGGGAGGAGAGCTGCGTAACATCCCCTGCCACGCAAGCACAGCGCTGTCCTGCCCCAGGCACCTGGCCCCGTGCTGGTGGGTTGGTGCTTTTTAGGCACGGAGGATGAGGACCTGCCTTGAACAAGCCTCCTAGGGAGGGCTCGAGGCTGGAAATAATGATTTTACTGGAAACCCTTAAAGGGAACTGCAGCTCCAGCCTGGCTCCCTGCTGCTACCTGCCTCCGGAGCTGCCACCGTGCTGCAGGGAGCGGTGGAGGAGCAAGGGGTGAGCAGCAAGGCTGCTCTCCACCTTCGGCTTTATCTTGCGATGCTGTGGTTGGGGTAGACGCCTCGGGATGACTGTTCTCGATGAAATGACTTGTGCACCATCTGCCCCTGCACCGTGCAGCCAGATGAGCCAGTAAGTACGGCAGAGCAGGCAGTAACACCACGAATCCTGACGTCTCTGGTCAGAGTTGGCCCAATGGGACATGTGGCAGCCCCCCCGGCCAAGGTGAGAGATGCAAAGTGCTCAAGAGGGAAAACAGCAGCCACAGGACTCCCTGTGGAGGACAGCATGGTGCTCAGACATTGGCCATCAAGGTACTCTTTGGTGAACAGAAAGCTGTCCTGAGCAGAAACCACCAAGTCAGTCCAAGCTCCCACTAGCGAAAGCCCAGTAGGGGTGGACAGCCATCACCTGGGTGACCTGCCCTCAGAGACAACAGGGCCGAGAAGCTCGTTTTGTTGGCTCTTCTGCTTTCTTACTGTCTTTTCTGCATTGCCACAGCTCCATGTTTCATGGTATCTAGGCTTTGAGGTGCAGCAGCTGCATGCAAAAACACACCGCGCCATCCCCTCCAGCACCACATGCCTGCCTGTGCTGGGACAACACAACCCAGGCGTGTGTCTCATCCCAAGCTTCGCTCCCACTCACAGCAGAACCATGCAGGAGCCCAAGAGCTGCCCCATGAGCATGTCCACCATGTCCCCACCACACATGCCGTCAAATGCTCCCAGCCCCAAGCTGGCTTGAACGCCAACTACTCCCTTGGGAGACGGAATACAGAAGGGAGCACATCCACATACGCACCTTTAGAGATCACTCATCTTTTAATGCGTTCCTACCCATCTGCGAGCCGCTCGGGCCATGGCAAACTTATAATTATAAAGTAGCAGATCTAAGAAAGCACTTCTGAATATCACCACAGCCAGCGGGTGTATCTGACGTATGACCTGCGCCTCCGGCTCTCCCGACAAGAGAGAGTGCGAGGCAGGAGGAGACATCTGGGCCCTGACAGTAAGTTTGAGGAACTGCTCAGCCAAAAGAGGAAATAACAGATTCCTCCAGGCTCCTCCTGAGGCCACCGGCTCCCTTCGAGGAGGCAGAGCACACACCGCGCACGGCAGCTGCGGGGCAGCACAGGCACGGGAGAGGGAGCGGTTGTCAAAAAACGCCTATGGTTTTTTCCACTGCTCAGCTCAAACTCCAAATCTTTGGCTTTTTTTTCCCTGCAGCTAAAGCATCCCCTGTTGAAGCAAGGGGAAAATCAAGCGAGTCTCGTACTAGGAAGAAAATGCACCTGGGACTAAGAGCAATTGGCTTGCACCAGAGGCGAGCACACCACCGTCCTCCCACAGACAGCGGTGTCTGGCAGTCCGAGAAGGCGGCGAGGACCTAATTCCTCCTTCAGATCATCTCCGCTTCCACTGATGGTACCTTTAGCAGTGCTTGGGCCATAGGATGCAGTCCAAGAAAACACCTAAGCACCTAATGGCCAGTCTGAGATAACTCACACCCCTTAAATTAAATGTGTTTCAACAGATGAAGCAACCCTGTGCTGTGGACTCCACTCATCCTCCTCCTCCCCAAAGGTGGACATCTTTTCCATACAGGGAAAAGCAGCAGCATAGGGAACACCAAGATATAGCCAAAAAAAAGCCACCATTGCCAGCCAGGCAGCTGAGCACTGTGCCGGCTGGCGAGCAGGCTCTGGCAGAGGCAGGGCAGCCCGGGCTCCATACATTGGCATCAGTGTGCCCATGTCAGGATCTTAACCTAGGGGATACTCCAGCCACGCATGAGGACAGCCAGAAAACAGCCAGCTTGGACCATCTGCACCCGGGAAGGGGGTGAACCATCCCCGGCACCGCGGAGATCCATCCCTTCCTCCCCGCAAAGAGCCACACCACCGCGGCACACGCTGAAGGCTCTGACCATGCGTGCAACAGCCCGAAAGCTCCCTTCTCTTCTCAACCATGGCTGTTTCTCAGGTGGCCCAAATCACAGTGCCTTGCCAAGGGGACAAGAGCTCTTCGAGAAACCACGGCTGAAACCACAGGCTGCAAAGCAGTTCTCAGCATCAGCCCCAGAGCAGAAGCAGTGCTTCCAGGCACCTGCCTGCTCTTGCTCGGTGTCCTCGGATCAGCCGAGGCACCCTATCACACCCCCTCGCTCCCATGTGGTAAGTTCCAAAAACTCCAAAGAGCGAGCCACAAAAGGCATCAGTCAAATCCTCTACTTCTCTTGGGGAAAATATCTGGGTAAAAAAAAAAAAAAAAACAAACAAAAAACCAAACTGTCAGAAATTTGGCTACGTTGTTCTGGAAACCCACAAAAATTCTGCAAAGCAGTTGGGTGTGTTGTAAGTGAGCTCAGACAAGAGGATTTGATGGCATATCAGGAAATGAAAGTTTGCCAGTAAGTGGAGGCTCATTAAAAGCAGCTCGTTAAAAGAAAAATACAAATCTAATTATAGCTGAAATATAGTAGAGAATTAAACTCTACTCTGTGGCGTAACACTGTACGGTTATTAAAGGGCCAGATGCTAGAGGTAAGGATGCGGGCAGGGTCTGCAGGCAGCACACCTGACCACAGCAGGTTCAGCGCGCGACAGCTATCCCTGGGAGCTGTGGGAAATGGCAAAGCAAAATAGGTCAGGGTTCCCAGACACGGACAAAATGGATTTCTTAAAGGTCTGCCACAAAAGCTAGGCTGGGACTGTGACCTTTACAGGGAGAGAAGCGGGATGAGAGATGACTCTTGACGGCTCTACACTCTCTCCCTCCCCACTCCCAGCAGCAGCTGCCTGAAAGCCCTCTCCTCTCCCCAGTGAAAGCCAGTGCAGTGATGCTGAAGGGATGCCAGGCACTATCGTTAGCCACAGCCCTGGCTCCTACAGCATCCACAGGCCAACCCATTTCCAGTGAAGGGGGTGCCCTCTCCAGGTGAGAGTCCCTTGGGCTGGACTACATGCTGCGGAGGGGCCGTTGGAGCCTGCAGTGCTGGCAGGAAGGTAGGTGATATTTCAGGAGGACCCCATCCCCGCACAGACCAGCCCCTGTGCTGGAGGGACCTGCCTGACGAAGCCAAGGTCCTCACACATGCACCCAGCTGCCTTGCGTTACATAGCCATCGCCTGGGTACCGGGATGCTTCACCTGCCCAGGGGAGAGGAGAGGGCTTCCAGCCACAGGGCATCTCTGAAAACCACTTTCAAAAAGCCGAGGGGAGAACAGAGGAAACTGAGACAGGAGATAGATGGAAGGGGAAACCCTGGAGCTCTTCCACCCAGCCAGCTCCACCTCCATCACCAGGTGGGAGTGTTGTACTCCCGGAGAGCCCTTCGCCGAGCTTGGCGCCCAGGGAGGCTCAGGCACCACTGCGGAAAACAGCCCAGCAGCTTATTTCTCCTTCAGATCCCCGGTACCGCTGCCAGGAATAAATGCATAAGGATTATCCTTCCCTGTCAGGAAGAGGGGGAGAGAGGACTCAGCGAGAGATTTAAGCGCATATGGCGCATGAATGAGCGGGGGACGGCTGGTAGAGGTGGCCTTCTGCCAGGGGTGCACAGGGTTTGGGGAAGGTTTCTCAGCTTGCTGAAGACGTTTGCTTCTTGCAAAGTCCAGGCAGAGCCTTCCTTGCCTTTTCCGAGACAACCAAAAAGAGAAAGATGGTGGATTGGGGTTGGTTGGGATTTTTTTTGCACAGCCTTTCCATACAAATGTATTTAATTACCCTGAGAAGGCCTCCCAAAGACAGAGGGGAAAAGCATTAGGATATTCTGACTGTGTACAATTTCTCCCCTGCTCTGCTGCTCGTTCCTGCAGGAGCGGTATCTGTTTCAGGCTGATTGCTTTCCCTCGCTCATCTTTCTCCTGCGCTGACAGCTCAGATGCACAGATGGACAAAACGTTCCCGGAGCATCTCAGACAAGACCCCCCCCTCCGAAAATGCTTCCTTCCAGATGTGCCAGCTCTGCCGGAGGACCGGGCTGGGGAAGGATCCTGCCGGAGGGGAAAGGAGGCCATGGGGGGGG